ATTCCGGCTACTTGGAGGCTGAGGCGGAAGGATCGCCGGAGCCCAGCAGGTCGAGGCTGCGGTGGCCGGGAGCGGCCACTGCACTCCAGTCTGGGCGACAGAGTGAGACTCCAACTCAAAAAAAAAAAGTAAAAAATAAAATAAAAAAGAAATGAATACTACAGGCATTAGGTCATCTTTGTAGATCCTGATGAAAACCTAACCCTTCCTTTCTTTTACTTCTGAGGGTAAATGTGCTTATCTGGGAGTGTTCTCATTGCTTTAGGGAAAGACAAATATAAGTGATAAACTTTACATGAAGAAAACAGGGTTGAACAAGAGAAAGGGGCCTTTGTACTCCGCAGGGAAAATGAAGATGAGGGAAATGATATCAGCGTTCTCACACGCATCGGACGCAGGTGGAAGATAAACACTTGCAAACAAACAAACCTGAAGTTCTGCATGAACTGCCGGAACTTGTCCACCCTCCTCGCCAGCGGCACAATCACGTTGATAAGTGTGTTGGCCATGTTGAGCTTTTCTTTTTTCACTTTCAGGATGGGGCCAAATGGTCGAAACAAGACGAGTCGTTTGAATTCGTGCTTGTGGTCCCCTTTGAAGGTGAGTTCATACAAGGTGCCTTTGTCCCTTTCTGTTCGATAGATCCCTGTTCAGAGAAAAACAAGGAAAGATTGTTTTAAAAATTAACCTTGGCTGCTGAGTGTTTTATAACCGTGATCTAGCACAAGATGCCTTTTAAAATGTGAGTTTAAATCTCTGTATCTAACAATTACTAGAAAATTAAAAATGCTCCCAATTAAGAATTCCAAGAGAAATCAAAATGCCATCAATTTAAAAGTCACAGTTATGAAGGCTTCATAAAAACATGGAAAAAATCTTGTAATGTTGAATACAAACTGTATTTATAGTATACAGAGGCATTTTTAAAAGGACTGTTAGGAAATATGCCAAAACAAGGCTATGATGTAGGGCGGGATTATGTGGTTTTTTTTTCTTTTCTGCTATGATCCAAGTTTTCTGAAATATGATTGGAATAAATTTATCTTAGAAATTACGGCCACTTCAGATGAACTGACTGTGCTGATTTATTTGGGGCACCTAGGAGTAGCTCAGCACTGATTGTGGGTTCTGGAGCCCTTTGGAAGCTTCTGGAAGCATTAAAACAGACAATATATAAAGCATCCAATATAGTGGTGGTGTGGGTACACATCATATTTAGTTTCCCGTCTTCCATCTTACCGCTAAGCGTGTGGCTCATTGTTTCAGAACACATACTCCCAAGCCAGACTGCCTGGGTTCAAACTCTGGCCCCACATGGTTACATTGGAAAACTACTTAACCTTTCTGTGTCTCATTTTCCCCACAGATTACTATGAAGAGTTAGCGCTTGAATATATATAAAGAGGACAGAACAGCACCAGCACACAGTAAACCCTCAATAAATGTCAGCTATCATCACTACCCACCTTCTTCCGAGATGGTACAGAAGCAGAAGTCTATCTATGTTCCCTTCAAACTGTGTTTCACCCCATGTCATTGTGACTGAAACTCCAGAGCATCGCTTGTCAGGTCAAAGACATGAAGTCAACATCTCAGCTTAACTCTCAGAATGAGCCCCAGAACCTAGATGACAGAATTTCCCTATCTAATAAGCAATCTCTCTGACACCTCAGATTTCCTTCCCAACATCACTGGTATTATGGGTGTTTTCTCTACAGTCAGAAAACAACAACAGTAAAATTCAACAAATCACCAGAAAAGTTTTTCTTTGATTTATATAGTAGGCCCCCCCTTAATCCCCAATTTCAATGATCTGGGGTAGAGTACAATAATATATTTTGAGAGAGAGAGAGAGAGAGAGAGAGAGACAGACAGAATGCATTCACACAATGTTTATTACAGCATATTATTAAAATAGTTCTATTTTATTATTAGTTATTGTTATTAATCTCTTACTATGCTTAATTTATAAATTAAACTTTGTCATAGGTATGTATGTACAGAAAAAAAAAACATAGTAATATAGGGTTTGGTACCATCTGTGGTTTCAGGCATCCACTAGGGGTCTTAGAACATCTTCCCTGAGGACTGGATAGACCACTGTACCATGTTTTCTATCCATGCTCCTTCTTCTTCCTCTTAATCACTACATTAGCTAAGGATATACCACCCAGTCTTTGAGTAGCTACAAAAATAAATCTCCAGGGAAAAATATCTGCCTATAGTCAGTTACAGCTTCTCAAGGCCTCTCACAAACCACATCTCTTTTCTTCCTGACACTCCCTCTTCCTATTTTTTGTGGGAACTACACATAATATTGCCAAGTTTTCGCCTCTGTTCTTTGCCTTATAGGAGCTTTTCATCTTACAGCACTGGTTTTACAGCTTCTTTGAGCCTGTTCAAAGTTTTGATCTTCTCAAGGTGCCAGAGAGAAGAGTCTGGTCTTGTGAATGTTCAAGGTAATCTCATGTCTCCTGCTGTCCTCTGGGCCTGTCTGAAGATACAAAATGCACAGCCCACAAGCAGTTGGCATGGGTGATTTAAGGACCCAGGCACAGAGTTAACAAGGACTCAGTTCTCTTTGGAAGTCTTCACCAATTGCGTGGGTAATGGAGAGTCCTGCCCAACTGCCTTCAGAGTCAGGAAAGCTGAGAGAGGTTTACTGAGCTTGGGTTGGAAAAGAACTGAGTACCTGCAGGGACCAGTCATGGAAGAAAGAAGGCTCATTTCTTAGGAAACTCACAGGACTTCTTTGAAAACATTAAGTGAGTCCCTTCAAAGTGTGTTCCTTCTTTCAGGTGAGTAGTACCAATGAGGAAACAGGTTCTTTCCCCGCCTCTAACATCGTCTAGAGTAACCTGGTGAGCTACCAGCTCCCAGGGCCTACATGGGGTGGGGATTAGTCAAAAAGGAGCCATAGACGGTCACAGAAGGCACATCTGCACAGGGGAAGCAGGCCTGCTAGTGTAAGTGGCTGTGTCTCGTCTCACGTCTGTTATTCAGTGTCAGCAGCATAACGTCTCCACACAGTAATAAACATGGAAAGGCAGCTGACAGTTTAATGTGCAGATAAAAATGTACTTGGGCCGGGAGATGGTTTCTTCAACGGAGTCATTTTCTTTCTCAGAGGCAGGATAAGAACCATAGACTTTAAAAAATCTAAATCCACAGAGTTGAAAATACAGGTAGCAATATATCCAAACCCATCTCAAGAGATGGACATCTATCTATGCAATGCCCAGAGAATGCGATCATTCTTATTCATAATGATTCCTATAACTATAGGACACGAGCTACCTTGGAAGTACCGGAATCATCAGCCCAAGAGGACAGGGGCCCCAGCCATGGCCAGCGGTTCCAGGTATGACACTTCACCCACCGGGAAGGTCACAGTGCCCAGGCTTACCCAGTACATCATAATTTAAGCTGTTTTCTCATTGTCTTCCACATACTGTACCTTGAAACAGTCATTACACCCACTTTTAGCATGTTTCCCTATATCCTGATTATTCTAATTATGTCTTACACATCTGATTTTAGATCCTTGAATTTCACCTATTTTCAATGTTATTTAAAACTCTCTTGCAACCTACTTCTACCAAAAGCCACACCCGCCCATCCACTGGCCACACCCACAAAGACACATTCCATCCCAGCACCCAGAGAGCACACTCAGTTTGTCTTCTTTCAAGACAAAGGACAGCACCTGAAAGAACCCTTTTGCTTCCTCAAACTCTTCAGTAGAGAGAACACAAAGGAACTGAGAGAAAGGAAGGGGGGCAGATGCATTTTGAGGCAGGAATGGCTTTTAAGCCAATAAGCTGACATGTCCAAATGGCAAATGCACAACAAAACAGCCCCGCAGACACCTTCCTTGTACTATATTATAGGATAATATCATCTTATGTACCAGACAAATTAAAGATCGAAATCAGAACTTTGGAGCCAGCTTAGATATCCGTTCAGACATCCTGCCTGGCACTACTTTTTCCTTCCTGCCCTCCACAGTGGCTAAGCTTGTTTTGAGTTTGGTGTTACCACTCCCTGTGCAAGTCTTCCAATGCCTGTTATCCTGCTCAAGGGGCCAGGTTCTAGGCCCCCCAACTAGGTGGGGACATCTCTACATATCCCAGACAGATCTGTAGTCTCCTGCCAGGAGCTAACCAGGTGCCTGCCTCTCTCTGTCCTGTCTTTAATGTAGGATCTTGGAAATCATGACGCCAAAGAACAAGGAAAGTACCACTCCTGACTTTCATGTTTCTCTCCCTCACTCAATGTTGTGATGTTGAGCCTCTATGGAACTTGTCCTTAAGCCTCCCACCTACAAAAAGTTATCTTCATTCTTGATGGGATTTTCATTTTCATAAATGTTCTGGAGATGGATGGTGGTGATTGTTGCACAACAATAAATGACTTAATGCAGCTGAACTTTACACTTAAATATAGTTAAGTGGCACAGTGGCTTATGCCTGTAATCTCAGCATGTTGAGAGGCTGAGATGGACAGATTGCTTGAGCCCAGGAGTTTGAGACCAACCTGAGCAACATAGCAAAATCTCATCTCTACCAAAAAAAAAAAAAAAAGAATTAGTTGGGTGTGGTGGCACACACCTGTAGTCTCAGCGGTCAGGATCATGCCACTGCACTCCAGCCCAGACAACAGAGTAAGACCTTGACTCTAAAACAAAAAAGTAAAAAAGATGGTACACTTTATGTAATGTGTGTTTACCACAATAACTGCTCTCCTCTGAAAAGTTCTTTCAGTTCCTCACAGACTCACAGTCTGTGCACCAGTCTTATCTTTCTGCCTTCCACCCATTCTAAATCTGACTTCTGCTCTGGGAAGACTCCCAGGACACTCTCAGTCCAAAGGGATCGCTCATCCTCAGGCACTTTCATCATATAGCTTTTAAACTCTTCCTTCCTAAACTGCTTTTTTGGCACATGACAACTTGAAAGAACCTTGGGGAGCTGGGCATGGTGGCTCACACCTGCAATCCCGTCACTTTAGGAGGCTGAGGTGAGGGATTGCTTGAACTCAGGAGTTCAAGACCAGCCTGGGCAACATAGTGACATCTTGTCTCTACAAAAATAAAAAAATTAGTCAAGCGTGGTGGGGTATGTCTGTAGTCCCAGCTACTGAGACTGAGGTGGAAGGATCATCTGAGCCCAGGAGGTCAAGGCTGTGGTAAGCTGTGATCGTGCCACTGCACTCCAGGCTGGGTGACAAGAGTGAGAGTCTGACTCAAAAAAAAAAAAATCAAAAAACAAAATAAGATAAAAAATTTGAAAGAACTTTGGGGATCATCTTGTCCAGCCTTCTCATTTGACTGTTGAACAAAATGAGGCCCGAGAAGTTGTGTTTTGCTTGCATTTACCTAACATAAGCAACTGACTAGAACAAACCTTGTTCAAGGTTTACTACCTAGACATATGCCACATTGACAACTCAGAGCATAGAAAAAATCCAGAATATGAAAACAGTTTCTGAGAAATCAGAAGAAACAATAGAAAATCTGTAGTAAAACGCACTTGTACACAGCTCATTTACCCACAGCTCACCCTTCCATCTTTCCTAGAGCTTTCCTTTTACTTTACTGGGCGATTTTGGCAGTTGCTAAGTAACAGTTATCTGAAGTCCTAATCT